TGGGTGGGGGAGGGAGAAGGGGACCAGAAAGTTGAGCGCAGGTGAAATAAATGGATGCTCCAGCTTCCTTGCCAGCCGTAACATTTAAAGCAGCACTGGCGCAGATGCCCGCATGCAAGCCTCCTTTGCGTTTCTCCTTCCCTCTCTCCTCCTGTTTTATGTCTCTTTGGAAAACGGATCTGGCTGGCTGGCCCCATCTCTGTTGCATCTCAGTAATTAATTGCAATTGTCAAACGTAGACACAGGCTGTGTCAGCTAAAGTGATGTTATCATCTTAACAGAGCCAATAGGTAAACTAAGGATTGTTTCCTAACAAGTTGTTTTCCTGTTGAAGGGATGGCTGTCTCAGTTTAAATTACAGCCTGGGAAAGTTTCAGAAATGACAACTTCAGAAATATAGAATAAATGTGTGATTGATCCCCCCCCCCCCCTTTAAAATGTGCCTTGTACTTGGGAAGCTGGAGAGAAGTGCACTTGGCGCATAAACATTCCAGCGCATGAAAGAAAATAGCAAATGTGTCTGTTAATGTCCTGTCTGTTTCAAAAGCCAGAACTAATTGCAACATTTTAGGAGGCTTCAAACAGCCCCTTCCTCTCCAGACATGAAACAGCAAGTGCCCAATTTAACTAGAGAATCAGTACCGTAAACATCACAGCCATCCTTCCAGGTGGCAGTTATCACTAAGGAGGTGTTAGGATGAGGAATGCACCCCTAGGAGGGGCGTGATGTCTGGGGAGGGTTCCCTTAACTGATGGTTGCAGGAAGGTTCTAGCTTCTTCTATGGGGCAGCTTTGGTCTCATGAGGGTAGCTGGCCCCCCCCCCCCCCCTCTTCTGATTTCAAAGCTGTGTATCTTGTGAGAAGTGTTAAATGCCCTTTTGGGGAGAGGGCGGCCTAAGGATCAGATCTTTCCGAAATGTGTGTGGGTAGCTTTGCAGCAGCTGGAAACAGAAGGGGGGTCTGATGAGATGCCGTAAAGGTGGTGCGGGGTGTGTGTGGGATGCGAGTCAGGAAGGGACTGGACAATTTTCTGAGAGGGGATGGAAGATGCCTGGTTTTCCCATGTTCTTTTACACCGAGGCTGGAAAAGGAGGCACATACACTGCCTGGCCTTGGGGACCTGGCTGTGGTATCTGGGGCTCCCCTTCCAGCTGCGACACCAGGGAAGTGTGGCGGGAAGTGGAGGACCGAGTGTCGTCCTGTCCTCAGTCCCGCCCCAGGCTGTCCGGGTGGGGGGCCCCTGTATTGCTGAGATGTCACTGGAAGTGCTGGAGGAGAATCTGTCGAACACAGAGGGAATCTTAGCAGAGCGGACTCCCAGAACCCCCTGCACCCACAGAAGCCACATGTGCCCGGACGACTTGGTGCCTCTCTAGCCTTACCAGGGCCAGCGTGCTCTGAGGCCCGGGGATTTTCCTGGGCTCTGTCCCAGGCTCCAGCCTGTGTGCATGGAGGAAGCAGGCATGGCATCCTCGCTGGCTGGTAGAGAGGAGGCCGTGGCACTGAGTCAGACCAGGACAGACACCTCGCTCTGGGGTCGCTGGTGTGGCTTCGCCTTGGCAGTGGCGGCCTCTGGACTGAAAGGCTCCTCTTGCCCAGAGCGAAACCCGCTGGAACCTTCCTCTTCTGTTGTCCGATGACACAGCCCCAGGTGAATTCAAGGTCCCTCCCCCCACAACCATGCACTTCTTTTTCTTTTCAGGGTGCCTCCCATGGCCCACCAATTCTGCAGATGTTTCCTGCAAGGGGGGCAGAAGCAGCGGCTGCTGCCAGCAGGGCTGGCCTGGGCCTTCCGCGGGCCGCCCAGCAGCCAGCAGCTGTGCCTTCTCCGAGCCACTCCAGTGGTGTCTAGATCCGGGTTTTGCTTCCTCCCGTGCTGTTGATCTAATGTGATTTAAAAACACATTTGGGATTAGAACATGTGCCTCAGATTTCCAGGCCCAGATAGCCTCCTGGATTAGGGCGTGTTACAGCCGCCGCAGAGCCGGCTCCCTTCGTGGACAGCACAGGCCAGCGGTCAGTCAGGGTGTGGGGCAGCTTGCACCCTCCACGCCCCGCCCCAGATAAAAGGGCAGAGTCCCAGTCGCCTCACGTGCTCTGATGTGAGCTGTGAGCTGTGAGCTGTGAGCTGCACAGGCAGGGCCTTGAAGTGCTGTAAGGATGGGGCCCTGTGGCGGGGCTGCCACAGCAGAACTCATCAAAGTGAGGAGACCAGGAGCGCGGCCTCCCCCGCGGTTTACACTGTGCGGCAACCGTGGCCGCGTAGCCTTTTGGAAAGCGCCCAGGGCGATGGGAAGTGACCCTCCAGGGCTTCAGGCTGTCCTCACTGCCAGCCGCTGACACACGGCCCACTGGCTGGGGAACGCCACTCAGGGGAGGGCTGCTGCAGTCCGGCCAGCTTCCGGAGGACAGTGGTGACAGCGTGGTTCCCACACAGCGTCTGGACAGAGAAGGAAGGAGGACGGCGCTGGCATTACTGAGCGCCTGTGATTGTGGTGGTTGGCGCTGTAGAGGCCTGTGATGACGTTTGAGCGTCATGATGAGGCTGTGAGTGTAATCGAGACACCCCTGGCTCACAGGTGGCCCAGAGGGCACACATCTTGCTCAGGGTTTCTGGGAGGGTCCCCGTGAGCTGCCCGCAGTGAGCTGCCAGCGGTGAGCTGGCCGCGTCTGCCCCACCGCAGAGCTTCCTCTGCCCCGCATGGCCACACAGAAAGCACTGGGAAGACCGTCTTCGTTCTTGTGTTCCACAACTTTTACCAGTATCTTCCGTGTCCCAGCGCTGTTTCCGGTCCTGGGGAGAAAGTGGGCCACAGGAGAGCGGAAGCAAGCCCCGTTCGTTCTGGAACTGGCATTTCACGGGGGTGAGGGGAATGGCAAACCCACACGTCTTTCTTTGTGCCTCTGTCAGTGTGGCTGCTAGGAAATTTAAAGGTACACTGGCGACTCACATTTTATACCCGCTGGACAGGGCTCCCGCAGATCAGTACTTTTAAGCTCCAACATGAGTCACCTGGGGATGTTGTTAACATGCAGGCTCTGATTCAGCACGACTGGGAGGGGCGGGGGATGCTGACACTGCAGGTCCCAGGGCCTCACTGTGAGGGGCAGGGGCGTAGAGCGTAATCAGTGCGCACACACGAGTTACCTAAAGTCAAATGACCAGGGAACTCCTCTCTGTGGAAAGGATGTAAATGAAGTGAAGGAGGAAGGTCCTCCCAGGTGAAGAGCTGGGTGGAGAGGTTTTCAAATCGAGGGGACAGCAAGTGCAAAGGCCCTGGGGTAGAAATGAGCCTCAAGGATTTCCAAAGTGTTCTTTTATTATCCCCAAAGCTCGGGCTTGGTAGCTGGACAAGCCTGGGTTCAATTCCTGGCTTTGTCACGTTCTAGTTGGATGGTCTTGGTTGGATTACAGCTTCAGTTTACCTGAGGGTAATTCCTTCCTTGCAGGATTGTTGGGAGGAATAAATGAAATAATACAAGTGAATATATTTTCTAGGCAAAACGTGGGTTCTAGAGCAGAAATCCAAATAGGCCCAAACTGGGTTTTTCCATTTCTCAGTCTTGTTGGTCTCATCTGCTTTACCTGCTATCTCAGCTGTGAGAATGTTCACGGAATGTTTCCTTACCCGGTGTTTTGGGAAAAGCCTAATCATGACTGGCTTTGCAATCTGCGTCAGCTTAACCTTTTACACCAGGGGTCGCCGAGGGCCGTGGGGAGCCTGCAAATGAGGGAAATGAACCAGGTGGGGAGAAATGGGGTGAATGTGTTCTGTAAAGGGGTGCCCACTGCTTGCTTCCCAGCTACTCTTCTCCATGCTCAGAGGTGGCGTCAGGGTTACCTGGTCTCCCATTTGGTAAGAAAGTGGAAATTAGGTTTTAATGTGAAATCTCCTGCTTTTGAATGCTGGCAACAGAGTGAAATTTCTTAAAAGTGCTGTGTGGGCCAGCACTGGGAGGCACGCGGAACCCATCTGTGGGCTGGATACCGCAGCTGCTCCCGTTCCCAACCTCTGCTTCCAGCCATGTCGGAGACGGCTAGTGTGCCCAGCCCCTTGCCCCTGCCAGGACCCTGCTTCCGGGCTACTTCAGTGTCCATTCCCCTCCCTGTCTCCGGGCTTCACAGCCTGGGGCAGAGGTGGTGGCCGCAACCCAAGGGGGCTGGTTGGAAACGGACATCGAGGCAGAACAGGGCCGCTCCCAAACACATTTCCCGCTTCTTCCCAGTGAGCGTTTTCTGGAAGGTGGGAAATTCTCTTGTGTTCACTCACTAATTGTGAGTGCCCGGATCTGATCCATGCGGATAAGTTGCGCTTATAGGCTCTGGTCAGAAAAGTTGGGTTCTAGGCTGTGTTCTGCCACCTACCAGTTCTACTGGACGTCAGGTTACTTAA